TTAGTACGAGCATGTTAAAATATAACATAAATTTAATGTTTCATTCTATTTAACCCTCTCTGTGCGAGTCAGACTTGTACTTGTCCGATTTTTTTAACATATACTTAAGTTATAAATTAATACTATGTACCTATATGAAATAAAATATATTAATTTAGTAGCAATTCTTATAAGTATACAGTAAACAACAATGGCTACGATGATACTGCAAAAGTATATATCAACGCCCGCCTCCGTACAATATTTAAACTATTTTATAAAAACTAAAAAACAATAAGATGATGATGATGTATGTGTGAGTGTGTGTGTGTGTTTGTGTATGTGTGTGTGATTATATTATGTATATAATATATACCTAGTATTATTGTTATTATCATTAATTTTTAACATGTAATATGTAAGAGTTCAGAGGTTAGGGGAGGTTTTCAGCACTGGACGGTGATAGGTTGATAACGATGTTAAATATACGGTTTAGTTTTTTAATTCATTTATTTACTTAGCTGTTTCTAATACCTAAGTCACTGATGAATGAGATTTAAATTAAGTAGTTTCTTTGACGGAACTCTGTTTGGGATTTCGCTTTACATATGACTAAGTGTAATTTCTATTTAGAGTTAGTGTTCTGTTTGGAGCTAGTAATCTGTTTTAAACTGTCCGTCTGTTGTGCCAACGTCTGCCCCTAACTGTTAGATTGAGAAGTCCATTGACATGACTGGATTTATATAAAAATAATTTTACTATTTATTACTAAATCTAGATTTGGTTTAGATTGCTTTCCCATACAAAGCTTCATCCCCATTTTCACCCCTTAAGGGATGATTTCCGTGATAGAAATATCTTATGTCCTTCCCAGGGTCTCAAACTATCTTCTTACCAAATTTCATTTAAATCGGTTCAGTAATTTCGGAGCTTATTCGATACAAACAAACAAACGAACAAACAAAAAAATCTTTCCTCTTTATAATATTAGTATATATATAGATAATAAGTATTGTATTATGTAATTTACTCTTGATGTATTTATATTCGAAAAATACTCTCAATTTTTTTTACAATCTAGAATAATCTTGGCCACTAAATGTTGAATAAAAATGAAAAAGTTGTGTATAATCCTTTCATATATTTACGCCAATTTTTGAACATCTCTTCGGATTTTGTCGCGGTTTTATTTTTGTTCACGACGTTTCGAATGCTTTATAGGAAACATGCTCAGTGCTCACTGAGTCTAAATTCAAAATAAAACCGCGACTAAATCTATAAACATAGTTTCATTTAAAACTTATGTATAGCTAAAATATATTACTGTTATTATTGTAGGGATGGTGTCGTTAACATAGCGTGTTGATTTATCACCACTCATATCAGTCAGTATAGGCCAAGAGCTATACTTAGTAAATTTAAACTATTTTAGTACTCTTACTGAATATTCTTTAAAGACTTAAACTTTACTTGCATGCTTTAAAGCTATGTCATTTTTATTATTTTCTGTATTTTCTCTATTGCCCGGTGAGCAAAAAATACTAAGTATTAAGGAAACTCCTGGTTCCTACTGGCATGCCACCTGAATAAGAGTGCTAGAATCTACTAATATCATAAAAAAGTGAAGTTTGTAAGTTGTAGTAGTTCTAGTGTATGTTGGGGCTGATCCTTGAGACTACAGACTTATTTTGAAAATTCTGTTATTAATAGGAAACTTCATTATTGCTGATATAAGCTATGTTTTATTGTGATAAAAATGTGTTTACTGTCAGATATCTTTATAAAAATTTATATTTCTTTTTTCTCAATGCTTTATTGGCGTGCGCTAGCTGATCGGCTTGATAAAGAAATTAAATGTATGACAAAACGGGCGAGTAAGGAATTCATCTGAGCGAAGCGAGAGTGTAACACTAGTATTTAATAAAATATTATAAACTCAAAGCACTGCTAGCATTGAATGAGTCGAAAACATATTTGATATTATTAAAGAAATATGCCATGGTTTTTTTCATGACGTTGCCTCCTGCACTATAAACATCGCATCAGTCATCACATCAACTCGCTCGTATGGTGTCGCAATTTCCTTCTGTATAATCGAATAAAAGCAAGAAACGCTAAAGATTTAGGTATCTTTGATAAGTAGGTATGTACATAAATATAATATTATTTGATATCAAATTATATATTAATATTTTTATGTAGATACATTAAATCTATACAAATATTATTATAAGGCAGAGTTTGTTTGTTTGCACGCGCTAATCTCGGCAACTACTAATCCGATTTACAAAAATCTTTTAGCATTAGATAGCCCGTTTATTGAGGAAGGTTTTAGGCTATATCCATACTAATATTATAAATGTGAAAGTGTGTTTCTTTGTTTGCCCTTCTTTCACGTCGAAACGGAGTGACAGACTGGTGTGATTTTTTGTGTGGAGATAGTTGGAGGGCTGGAGAGTGGCATAGGTAACATTAGTTAGTTAGTCTTCAATAAAATTACATAAATTTTTCAAAATTCGTCCTATAAGGTGATAAAATAGAGGATGAAAGTTTGTATGAAACTACCTTTTTAGAGATTTTTTTATAGTTTTAGTGCGAGCGATGCCGCGGGTTCTGCTAGTATCATATAATAAATTATAGTCTATCTATTTATACTATACGTTAAAACGTACCTAGGGACGAACACGAGCGAAGCGGGAGTGAGTCGCTAGTGCTACGATAAACTAACCTTAACTCTACAGTCTACTTCATCCGCATGAATCCTAGCGATTCAATTCAATTCAGTAAAACATAATCTTTAAATATCTATAAAACATAACCTATACATACTAATAATATAAAAAAGTACCTAATATTTGCTTTTTCGTTTGTTGTTGTTGTTGATAAAATCTAAAACTACTAAACCAATTTTAATAATAATTCTTTCGCCGTTGGAAAGCTATATTATTATCCCGCTCTTTTCAGTAGAATCTACTTATCTTCTATATATCCTAGAGACGATTCAAAAGTATATCTAAAAGTGTACCTATTAGCCATTATTATTATATTTTTAAATTTCAGTATAAAATATCTGCTAGGGATGTGATATTGTTACATGTACAAAAATTGAATTTAAGGCAAGTCTTGATGATAAAGATTCCAGAACATCATCCAGCCTTCTAATAAGGCTAATTATAAGAGCGTTCTCCCGAGAGAAAATTGTTTTATGAAAAATCTGTTCTTGCGCGGAAGCTATAGTTTTTGATGTAAATTACCATAATGATTATAATAATAGTGAAAAAGGATACAAGAATATTATATGCAAGTTGTTTTTGCTTTTAAACGGTTATGTATAATTGTGTTGTATATAATTATTTAGTTTAAATGATTTCTTGTAAACATGTAATAACCATTTGCAAACCTTATTAAAATAAATATTAAAAAAATAATACATACTTAAATATAAATCAGAAGGGAGCAATTAAATAAATAAAATATAAATACAATAATAGATCTAATATTTTATAGACATTCCAACCTTGGACCTTTTTTAACTCCTTCGAGTTAGAAATACCAATAAACCATTTATTGCTTGCTATTATAATATAAGAAATCTCCCAGAAACATGTTGTTTCTAGACTTTCTTTAGGATCGGATTGTGCCACGTTTGATATAAAATAAAATCATTCAATCGGTCAGTTCATTCATTAATGATATTATTATTATATTATTTTTATTGTTTTTCATATTTATGTTTTTGTATTTATATTATTTTTGCGATAGGTTTATTTGAATCATCTTTTAATCTCTTCTAGTTACTATAGGTAGGTATATGTAATTTATAAATAAAATTGAAATCTGTAACTGCACGATACTAATGAATGAAGGATTACATACATTTAAAAAACTATATTTCTTCTATCTATGTAGGTATGTACCTTTCAGTACCTAAGTAACCTGCTAACTGAAAGGGCTGAATAAATTTTACCCAACTTTCACTTTGAGAATAGTGTTCTCGAGGCGTCGCGTCGTGACATAAGCTTTTAGTATCATTTTATAAACAGGTAGAACCATGGGCGACTCACTCTTATCAAAACTCATTCATTGCCTTAACATCAAAAATTGCAATGCTGTATTTTCATCCCACATTACCTTAGGGAAGGCATAAAATAAACGTTGGTTCGGTTTAATTTTGCGAGCCTAATAAAACGGCCCATCTTGGATATAATATGGGTCAAGGACGATTGTTACGGCTACTTACATGGTGCATCCGGTCAGTGTTTTGTTGATTTCAATTGCGCCTAAAAAGAGAGTATAGCAAATTGTGTAATAATACAATGTACTCAACATTGTATTATTATTTATTGCACAATAATTTAAAAAATAAATTATTTATTAAACCAAAAAAGAGACTATTAAACAATAATATCTGATAATTATATAATTACATTATTCACATAGGACACATACCTAATATAATATTATACTAATATTATAGTGGTTAAAATATTTTTTTAATAAGTATAATTACATCCATAATTTTTAGAATTTAACAGAATAGGCAAACATTCAAGACATAGAATGTGATAAAAAACTTCTTCAAGAACGGACTACTGACTAGTAGTAGGTACCCTATTTACACTTTTCTTTTAGACTATTCAAAAAAGGTTATAAAAGTCAAATTTTATAAAGATAATTTTTATTTCAATTCTAATAAAGATATTGGAGTTATTATGATAGGAAGAAAAAGCCTAAGATGCCTTTTAATATAATAAGTAATTATTTTCTGTTTATAATTAGATAATTAATAATCTGTTAACTGTTTCCGGACAAACGTCATAAACGTTGTCATTTGACAATTGACGTGCACGAACTTCACAGCTGCTGATTGCGACCTCCATTCATCCTTCGTCGCACCGATAGAGTGAATTTAACATCTTTTTCACATAAATAACCGTATTTCATACTGAAAAGTTTATTTATAAGCCACCGCCTGTGTCGATATTAGTTTATAAGTGTAATTTAATAGTGTTACTGTGAAAATGGCGTTAAAATCCTCACCGGTTTTATTGGGGCTCCTGTCGCGGATAACCCGTCGATCTTTTTCAACTTCAAAAGCTTTAGCATCAAAGCCTGTTACTGTGCGAGATGCCTTGAACCAAGCTATAGATGAGGAAATGGAAAGAGACGAAAAGGTGTTTGTTTTGGGTGAAGAAGTAGCTCAATATGATGGTGCATACAAAATTACCAGGTAATTTAAATTAACCTATAACCTTAATTTGTACTAAATTTTGTACATTTTCCCATATGGAATACTTCAAGTTTGCTGTCAAGGCCAGTTTTAAGACATCTAGACTCAAAAGATACAGGTAATTAAGTGTTATATAACACACATTTCTTGACAGTTCCCAAGATTATGTTCCAGTAATATCCTCTTTTTTAACATAATGTAATATATTTTTTTTGAAAAATATCATATCCTTATGTAATAATATATAATACTTAATTAAGATGTATGTAAGATAAATCTCTTATTTTAATTTCTTAGATTTCATCTTATCTATATGACAGACATGATTTGTGAAGATTAGATTATGCATTTCTTTCTGTGTTAAAATTTCACAATGCTAAACAAATGTTTAAATTTATTTGTACTTAGTATAAATGAGTAAGATATTCATTAATTTTGTATTTCCTGTACATATTTTTTAAGGAAAATGAATACATATTTACATTAAAAAGTAAATTTAACGTGTATTGTACATATTTGTTAATACAAATGAATATGTAAAGAAATATAATGAAAAATTTCATTATGATTTAATCAGAGTAGTTCTAATATATAAACAAATATTAAATTATAATGTATAAATATTTTACATTAAATTATTACAAGTTCTTATAGAATTAATCTTATTATTGAGTTTGGAAAGATAATCACTCAGTCTAAACAGTGACAATATAAATTAAATTACGAAGTTCAATTGTTTATTTTTCAGGGGACTCTGGAAGAAATATGGAGACAGAAGAGTAATAGACACACCCATCACAGAAATCGGTTTTGCGGGTATAGCTGCAGGAGCAGCTTTTGCTGGACTCAGGCCTATTTGTGAATTTATGACATTCAACTTCTCTATGCAGGCCATAGATCATGTAAGTATTATTAGTATGTTGTATTAAAAAAACTATTTATAATTTTTTCCCCATAATATTTTAGTGTTTTATTTCTTAAAGGTGTTGAATGATATTAGACCACTGTAAGAACCTATAATATATTATATATATATATATATATATATATATATATATATATATATATATATAGTACCTGGGCGACCGAGCTTTGCTCGGAGTTTTTGGCCAAAAAAAAACATTAAAAAAAAACAAACTAAAAATTTAAATTAATACAAAAAAAAACAAAATTAAAAACTTTGTGTCCGACCGGGATACGAACCCAGATACCTGTGGTTGTCAAACTTGCGCATTGGCCGCTTGACCATGATGCTTATATCTGAGCGTGCGAAATTATCGAACATAATATTTTGCGTGGAATTATTAATTATTAATCTATTGAAATAATGCAAAAGAAATCATAATAATAATAATAAAGCTCTATTTATTTATTCATTTATTTATTATAAAGGCTTACTAACTAAATTTACATAAAAACATTTATTTAACATTATAATTTTACCTATCTGTATATACATTTAATTTAAAAGTATGCACAGCTTTTTATAAAAGTATTCCATTAAAATTTTATTTGGTTAAGAGCATATAAGGAGCCATTTTAGTTGTACAATAAAAAAAATGTCTATATCACATTGCAGAAATATAAAATTATATAATTTAGTGACTATTTATTAACTTATAATTTTTTAACTAATAATTTTGTAATCTGGAATTAAATTATTTTAAAAATCTTCATATTATTTGAAATGATATTGTATATATATAAATTATCATTAACAAATAAATAAATAAACAATCACAATAAATTAAATAATTCAATTGAGTAAATACTAAACATTTCACAATAATAAATATAAATAAAATTTCTTTCCATACATTAATTCTGACAATAGTTATAAATTAGGTATTTAATTTCATAATTAAATGTATTTATTTAGTAAATGTCTTTTTCATGTATAGACCCCTCTCGGTTAAAAGCCTCCTCCAAAGTAGTCCTGCATAGAGATTATGCTTGTATGATTGCAAAGGGTTTCTCTCTCTCAAATTTTGTTTTCAATATATAATTTGTTTCTGATATGCCTATAAAGTTTATAATTTTATCTTTGTGTTCTTTTGATTTGTTGTAGGAAATGCTGCTTTTAATTCTAGAAGTTTTTCTGGTGAAGATATGTATACCTTTGTTCATTGTATGTCTGTTTTTCTTTAGAGGGTTACGGTTGAACTCCCCCACAGTGACCGGCCGTACTGGTGGATAAAGATGAGGAGGTTCCTACGGTGTTTAATATACTATATCTTGCTGTGTTGTTTTTAGTTGTTCCTGGTTATCATTTGTGTGGTTGAAAGTTAATTTTGGTTTTTGTAATATAAAGTCTTTAATATTACCAGGTATGGTTTTCTTTGTATGTTGTTTATTTGTTAGTTTTTGTTTATAATTGAGGTAAGGCGTTTCTGGAGATACAGGCAGACTTCTTTTTTATTTCCGTTTAGTTTAAGACTATTTTTTCCTCTAGTTCATGATAGGATTTTTCACCTTCTTCTACTCTGCACATAACCAAGTTCTTGCGCATAATATGTCTTTCTAAATTATTTATTGAGGTACTTTGTTCCTGGATTTTTTTCTCAAGAACTTCGATTTTTATTTCTAACTGTTTAAATTTCTCATTTAAGTATATTATTGTTCATTGTATTTTTAATGTCTTCTTTCATTTCTAACATTTCTAACATTCCTGTTTTCTGCTGTCTTATTTCTTGTTGCATGTTTATTAGCAACTTTTTTATGTCCTCCATCTTATGTGTGAAGTTGGAAGTAGAAAAGCTGATTGAAAAAGAGCACCAATTATACCTAGTTGAATTGCAATTTTATACCGAGTACCTATTAGTTTTTGAGGTTATAAACTTATGTTTTAATATTTGACGCTTTCACTTCACAAATTATTTAGTTTTATTGTCATCACACACAGAAAAGATGGTTTTGCACTGATAGTATCTTTAAGTTATGTTTGTCACTTTTGTATTTGTTTGGTAGGTGAATTTTTAAAAGCTGATTTGTTCTTCAACACATCAAGACTTGGTGATGTTTACATATTGCCCATAGGTTTTATTTAAAAATTTACTTAGATTAGATTTAATTTTTCTTTAGATTATTTTCACTTAAATATATTTAAACTTGATGTAAATACGGACACGATGTTGACAGTTGCACAGTGGCGCCGCCCACTCACCAGAAGTGACAAAGCAAAAATTGTGAAAATGCAAAAGAAAATCGCATGAAAATTCGAAAATTCGCGTTTTTCCAGATATAAGACTAATCTAGATCGATTTATCGCCCCCGAAACCCCCGGTATGCTAAATTTCATGAAAATCGTTGGAGCCGTTTCCGAGATTCAGATTATATATTGATATATATATATATATATATATATATATATATATATATCATGCTTAATAGATAATTTTGATGTTAATTCATTATTGTTTATGTTAATTAAACATAAAATTAAGTTATATAATTAAAAATATAATGATGTGGTTGTGTTGTTGTGGTCTTGAGATTGGCTGTTGACACACAACAAATTTATGCTATGTTAAAAAAAAACAAATTTCAAGTTTTATCTCAAAAATCGAAATTTAATCCAAAAAGAAAGTAAATTCTTAATAAAAGTTTTACCAAAAAAAATCTCAAGTTCTAATCTTAATCAACAAAATTACAAAGGAATATTAAATGAGATATTTCAAGTTTTGAATACATAATATTATCGAAATCAAGTAAACACCTTCTATCAAATCGTAAAGATCTTCAGAAATATATTTCAACTCCATCTTTCTCCCTAAAACAAGAAATGTAATAATATATCAGCAAAACTGCAAAAAAACTGTAATGAGAAACATCAACAAATCTCCTATACTAACAAGAAAATGATTTTAATATTTTCAAAATAAAGATGTATACAACATATCCGCAAAATGTGGTTTTTCAAAATTTCCAAAAAAAAGAACAACTTTATGAGAAATATAAAATCTCTGCAAAAAATTCAACAAAAGATCAACCAAAATAAACTTACCTTGATGTCAAACAATCAATCATGTAAGGATTTATATTTTTATACTAAAACAACTCTATAAACAATAATATTACTTTAATGGCAATATTTTACAGTTTTTAAAGCGACAAATAAATCGTCAACAGATTTAAAAAAGCGTATAATGGCAAAAAGTTGTCGTGGCAGTGTAAATTAAACATATCATACTCAACTACTACTATAATTAAGTAGTATAATTATAGATTATAATCTATAAAAGTTCTACAACAAGTATAAGCTAATTAAATATCTAAGTTTTGTCATATGTATATGTGAAAAAAAATATAGTTTGTAGTCAAATTTATCATAAACTAGCGACCAAAACGTATACGGTAACTTTTTGGTATTTTTGACTGGAACCCTAATTCTTTTTCTATAATAAAGATAGCTAAGTTACTTCTAACATCAGCTATCTGCCAGTGAATGTGCCGTCAAAATCAGTCCAGCCGTTTCGGAGATTAGCCAGACAGACAGACAAAAATATTAAAAATTATTTTTCATATAAGTACCGTCTATAATGTCTTATGCATTTAATAAAAAGTTGTTATTTCAACATACAAACAGGCATTTCAATTTTTTTCGTATGTATGGATCATGTCTGATTAAAGGCTTACATATTATTATTAGTATTGCTATAGAACAAGGAAGGAAAGTGACGCTATTGTATAAGTCGAAGACAATATATCGTGGTCATAAATCAAAGATAATAATGCACAAAAATTGCAAAGTAAAATAGATAATGAGAAGTATCCAACTTAACGTAGGAATATTCAAAATAATATGCTAAGGTCAATTGTGAAATATGGTAGTGTAATGATGTCTGATGATAATGATTTGTCAACCACTTTATTTTAAATTATGAACAAATGAATACGTTCGCAAAAATTATATTACAAATGAAATTAGCATTCTGAATGGGATTTACTCTACCTTATGTGAAAACTAGCGACTCACCCTCGCTTCGCTCGGGTTCGTCCGTAGGTACGTTTTAAATTAAAATGGATGTAGTATGTTATCCTTAAGAGATAGACATATGCCATCGCGGACTTTTTTGTAGACCTATATAAGATACACTTCCACCTTACATTATTTTGTTATATCTCAAAGGGTTTAGGCAGCGTTTTCGTTGAAAGCTCCCAGACGTCTTATTTTTTCCGACACCTCCAACAAATATCGTTATATTTTAGCCAATGTATATAAAAACTTAACAAATTATATACTAAAACCTTCCTCTTGAATCGCTCTATCTGTTAAAAAAACCGCATCAAAATCCGATGCGTAGTTTTAAAGATTTAAGCATACATAGGGATATAGGGACAGAGAAAGCGACTTTGTTTTATACTATGTAGTGATACGACAGTTATTAAACTCAGCAGGCAAAACATTCCAAACTTGAACTACCTACTATATGAAATTAATAAAATCCACTACAGACAATTCTAAGATAACTCAGGAAAAGTCAGCATCATGTTTCAAAACTTATATATTTTAACTAGATTTAGTTACAATTTATTAGAAAACACTCATCCTCAATATTTACTTATTTCTTTTTTCCAGTTAAAAATCACGGAACGCATCCACCCATGTCAACTCCCCGACCATAAATCCCATTCGTTTTTCTATTTTAAAATTCTGTTTGTTTTTATCAATTTTTTTTTCGGCCTGCCCATTTCGTAATTTTTAACTGCCTCATTTATAAAGGTATCTGTAATTTGTGCATTTGCGTCAAATCAGTATAATGAATTAATGACTGTTTTATTATAAATTAAAATAGCTAAACCTTACACAATAAACCATAATAAAACCCCACAGATAATAAACTCAGCAGCCAAAACATTCTACATGTCAGCCGGAACGGTCCCAGTGCCAATAGTGTTCCGAGGCCCCAACGGCGCGGCGGCGGGCGTCGCGGCGCAGCACTCGCAGTGCTTCGGCGCCTGGTACAGCCACTGTCCGGGGCTGAAGGTGCTCATGCCGTACTCCTCGGAGGATGCTAAGGGTGAGTTGACTGATCTGTTGTATTTATTACCCCCAGATTCTAAATGGATAGTTAACGTTGCGTTTACTAAAACGGTGAAAGAACGCATTTTTTATATTTCACTTTACCTACAGTTATAACGGAATACCTTACAAATCATACAATGCCATCTATTGGCGTGTGATTGAACTAATTTTTCTTTTGAACCTGATGAAACCCCATGTCCCTATATTTTCTTTTTACTATGCACACAATATACATAATAATAATTTTATCTATATTCCAGGTCTTCTAAAAGCTGCAATCCGTGACCAAGACCCAGTGGTGTTTTTGGAAGATGAAATTTTGTATGGTATACCATTCCCTATGTCTGATGAGGCTCTGTCGCCTGACTTTGTACTGCCTATTGGTAAGATTTTTTCTTTCATTAAGTCATCAAAATAGCATTTTTAATATATTTTTTATTAGTTTCTTTTAATTTTAAATAATAAAGTAATATTGATAAAAATATATTTTAAAAGGCTACCTTGATATAAAATTAGGTATATCACATTCTTAACACCGTGTAATAAAAGTTGTGTTATGTATTAAACAAAGCCGAAATAAATTTTATCTGGCTAGCAAGTAAAATATTTAGCAAAAATCATTTACATCATATTTTTAAAATACGGCTGTGTTTTTTTCTTGATAATAATAAGAATATAAATGTATTTCTAATTTTTTAATTTTATGAATTTAAGTCAAACATGGCATAATAATGTATATTAATTTGAAGAATAATTACTTTTTATTTTAGTGTCAAATTAAAAAAAAAACAGTAATCACGAAATCTTTATACATCATTAGGTTGGTTATTTTCAAAGGCCTTCATGAGCCTGAGTATACGCATATATAACAAGATTCCACAAAATAGATTTACATCTTCAACAATTTAAAGATAAAATTAAAAATATTTTATTGAGTAAAGCATATAACTCTGTTCAAGAGTTTCTTGTTGATGGAAATGTGTGGACTAGACTTTTTTTAGATGACGTGTGTCGATAGAAATAAATGCAATATGAATTTATTTTGTTAATTTGTGGGTAGGCTGTCTGTAACAACTATATAATGTCTTAGAGACATCTAACACCTCAGTCTCTCCCGTGACCATGATTGCTGTAAAGCATTGGAAATGTCGGGAAACAAAAATTAAAATAAATCCACGAATAGATCCGAAAAGATAGTTTTATTTAAAATGTCAAATATTCGCGTAAATCTAAAAAGTACAATTCAATATACAAATACTATGAAAACATTATGAAAATTATTGGATTATATATAATTTTATTTAATTTAAAAGGTAAAGCGAAAGTAGAGAGATCGGGAGAGCACATCACGCTGGTGTGCGCCGGCAGGGCCACGGACACGGCGCTGCAGGCGGCCGGCGAGCTCGCGGGGAAAGGTAGTATATACTGACCCATTTCTTAAGGAACGAGGTTATTTTTAGGGTTCCGTACCTCAAAAGGAAATGAGGAACCCTTATAGGATCATTTCGTTGTCCGTCTGTCTGTCAAAATTTTTTTTTGTAGGAACGCGTGGAGGTATCGAATTGACATTAATATCAAATACTCAGGTCTGCCCTTTTGAACTGTGAAAAAATCAAAGTTCTAAGTTAATGCAATTAAAAAGCCGTTTATGTCATATATTTTGACACTTGCAAGGGAATCAAAATTTATAGGATTCTCCCCGTTGGTTGACCTAGAATCATGAAATTTGGCAAGTAGTCCAAGTTCTTATAGAACAAGTGAGGGGAAAAATCCGAAAATCGTAACTGTACCGTTTTAATATTCCATGCTGCGAAACTTTAGGTGTGCAAAAGCAGACTCGCACTTCAAAAAAGTTATTTATTATCAGGCTTCCAAAAAGGAGGAGGTTCTCAATTTGTCGGAATCTTTTTTTTATGTATTCTCACCGATTACTTAAAGGTGACTGAATCGATTTGGGTATTTTTTTGTTTCAAATGGTATACTTCTCAGGTCCCCCACACTATATTAAGATATGAATATCTAATAGGTAAATATGATTAGGTATGAATTCTAATTACATATAGTTAAAATATTATACATCAATTTGTTATGTATTTTACGTATCGATATATATTCGTATTAGATTTGCTTTGCATCGGCTGGCACCGACCTCGAAAATATCTGATTAGGTATCTATTTTGTAGGTTTGGTATTTATTTTTAGGTTTTTATAAAAAAAATTTTTTTTAACATATTTAATTACTTATTTAATTGTGTGTTGCAGGCATCGAATGCGAAGTGATCAACCTGCGGTCGCTGCGGCCGCTGGACTTCGACACCATCGCGCGCTCCCTCGCCAAGACGCACCACCTCGTCACCGTGGAGCAGGGCTGGCCCCAGTCCGGTGAGACTCATACATACATATCTCGGGATATTAACATACGGCTCCATCTGGTTCCATGGTAAGCTGCGAGGCTTGTGTTGTGGATACCAGGTAGTTGTTTCACAGACTCGAACCCGCGACCACTGGCACAGTAAGTAAGGTCACTTCGAACGGAGTTAAACGTGTTATAAAAATGTTATATCCTAGGGTTTCTGGACGATTTGAACCTTATATAGCTTTTGTGCTACTTCGTAAGGTGTTTGGAACTAAAATTTTATTCGTTATTAGCGAAGTTTTAATTTTTTTGAACGAAACCTCAATACTTTTTCAAAAATAAAAGTAGCCTCTGTTACTCCCTATAACATCGGCTATCTTTCAGTAAAAGTCCCGTCAAAATCAGTCCAGCCGTTTTAGAGATTATCCAGAACAAACATACAGAAAGACAAAAATTAAAAAGTGTTTTTCTTATAAGTATACCGTGTATAATTTCATACGCATTTAGTAAAACGCTGTTATTTTGACATTACAAACAGACACTTCAGTTTTATTTATCTGTATAGATATATATGCTTTATTATAATTAATAATTAATGATTTGTTTTAATTTAATTGCGACACTTGCAAAGAAGTTTTATTACAACCGCGCGTAATGTTCACACAAACGTATTTTTTATCGATTGAATCGAATCGGAAAAAAAATAAACGGAATCGATTCGATCCCGAGCCCAGTACCAGGAGTCCATAACCCGGCAGCGTGTGCCCGCAGGCATCGGCGCGGAGATCTGCGCGCGCGTGATGGAGTCGCCGGCGTTCTTCGAGCTGGACGCGCCGGCGTGGCGCGTGACCGGCGCCGACGTGCCCATGCCCTACGCGCGCGCGCTCGAGGCCCTCGCGCTGCCGCGCGCGCCCGACGTGGTCGCCGCCGCCCTCGCCGTGCTCGGCAACAGGTGGGTGCTGTGGGTGTGACTGAGATGCAGATAGCCGCCTGCTGTGGTGAATACAGCCGTCGCTTGTTGAACAAATGAGTGGGAGGGAGATGGTGATAGTGTGAGACGGATGTATACTGTATCGTGACCGCCTGATGTGGTCGACGCTGCTGTGGCCGTGCCGGGGAATAGAGGGGTGGGAGGGAGATAGCAATAGTGAAAATGAGTAAGAATTGAGACAGAAATGCCCCTGATGCGGCACCCCTGCTGTTATTCAAATATGCCGCTTCTGTCGGCAGTCCCCTGATTGCCTATTATAATATTTTTTTTATTGCCGACGTTTTGAAGACGATTCTCACGGAAGAATGAGAATACCCAAAAAAAATATTTTATTTAAAAATTTCAAATATTTATGTTAATTTAAAATGTTAATAAATTATTGTAATATATTTTAATTTCACTTTTTGCTCTTTCCAGGATCGCTCAAGCATCAAATTAGGTGATATAGAATCTCTAATGAAACGCCTCGGGGAGAATTTGTAAATATTTATTATATATATTTATTACGAAGACTTGATTGAATTGTTCGGTTTCAACAGATGAGCAATAATGTTATGAAATATACATTTTATAAATTTTTGTCTTTTAATTTTCCTTACATTATAAGTGATGGCTTTACCTCAGACTTAATTATATACGATCAAAGCTCGCCAAAATAAATGTCAAAAACAAAAATACATACGATGATGAACATAAAACCTCCTCCTTGTTGGAGTCGGTTAAAAATAGCATAATTTGTTGTTTATGCTACTTTTTTCGATTTTTCCATATATTTAGTTTATTTTCTTTAAAGAATAAGGACAATTTTATGTGTTTACTACCGAATCACCTTCGCTTGGCTCAAGTTCGTCCCTGGGTTGATTTCCCATATACATTTGACCCCCATTAAGGGATGATTTCCGGGATAAAAATGCTTCCTTAATAAATTCTATGAGTAAAGATAAATCTTATGCCTTTTCCAGGGTCTCAAACTATCTTGCCAAACATCTACATCAGACCAGTAGTTTCGGAGCTTATTTGGATTTAAAAAAAAAAAAACATTTTTTTTCCTCTTTATAATATTAGTGTAGATTTAAGTTATTATTTAATATACAATATTTGAAAATAAAATATGACTAATAAAAATAATACTACGTACATATATTCTTTTGTATTATTTTAATTTTAATTGTTTTTATTATAATAAAATCTGTTAGCTATTTTTATATATTTACTTAACACTCAGTATACGACTCCTATTTGTATATTTTTTTATAGCATTATACTTAAGTTCTACACTGTCTATATTGAGGCAGTGGTAGCCCAGTGGTAACGCGCTCGCTTATAAAACCGAGTGAAGCGAGTTCAAATCCCGGGTCTTGCACCTCTGATATATTTTTCATGGGCGAATCATTTCCAACATGATTACCACTTGTCTTATGGTAAAGGAAAACATTGTGAGAATCCTGTCTGAGAGTTTGCATGTCTGAAAGAACCTAGCAAGTTGTTGAAAGACACGATCAGTCCGCCCACACTAGGCCAGCGTGGTGGACTATGACCTGATCCCCCTCGTATTGAAGGGAGGCCTACACCCAACAACATAAACAAGTTTACAACGTCTCAACACGGCAAATATTTACAAATGAAACGTCTAACCATTTCATACACAGCACACACACAGGAAAATAAAAATGCAAGGATTTAGCAGTTTTTATTATATTTGAGAAGATTTACTACATCTTATTCTTATGTTAAGACATACCTAGTAAATTTTTGATTAGAATTATTATTATAAACTTTCTAAATACTATAATATACAAAAAACATTAATATATAAAACCGTAGATGCACAGTTTCTAGCAAATATCTCTTCATAAAGTGGCGTCGTAAGTGACGTTGAGTCAAACCAAGGAAAAAGAGCTTTTTTGAGGCAACTTTTGAAACATTGATTATTTTGACTTTGTATATCAATATTTTTGAGGTTAAAATTATATAGAGATATATAAAGCTATCTGTCATATGTAATCATATAAATTACATACTGCACAATAAATTATGTACAATCATATATAGAAAATTCCATAAATTCATGTTAAACTACTACAGACTACTAATACTATAAACTGGTATAGTATTATATGATCTGTGCTATAACTATTGCTGAAATGTTTTTTTACATATCAATATACTGATTACTGTTTACAATTAATTAAACAATTCATTTAGACGACACGTTTAGCTCAGCTTGTCGTGAGCCTACTTGCTGTGCCAGCGGTCGCGGGTTCGAGTCCCGCTGGGGGCATTCATTTGTGTGATGAGCAAGAATGTTTGTACTCCAGTCTTATATTAATAATATATATGTATTTTAAAGTTATATATGTGTACTGTATCAACTATCTGGTACCTATCCATAACACAGGCCTCGTTCGTAGCTTACCATGGAACTAGATGGCGCTGTGTGTTAATATCCTAATATATTTGCTTGCAAAGCTTTAAGTTATTCATCAATTATAAATAAAATATATTATATAAAAACTGTACATTCTGAATATGTGAAACGCCGTATTGATTGATTGCTTAAATACTCCATTAATCCGACAAATCTTTCCCATGCTGCATCAGAGGCTGAATGTTCTCTCCCAAGGTATCCCATTTCGCCGCCTTCACATGTGTACCAAAATTTTTTTGTCGAAGCTTTACTTGCAAGAGGATAATTTCTAGAAAAAAAATATTAAATTTTCATAATTATACAGGAACTAAATTGATATTATTTAAACAAAACTATCTAAATACCTATTTGTTTTGATTTCATTAATTATTATCATGGTCTCTCCCGTGACCATGATAGCTGTAAAGCATTCAGAACCGTCGGGAAGCAAAAATCAAGATAAATCCGAAAAGATAGTTTTATTTAAAATGTCAAATATTCTAAGAAAGTATTAATACGTATTATTTAAATGTAATAATTACTAATGCTTTGAAATAAATACCTGCTTTGATTGTTAAATCTGATATTATCACGTTCTTGTTGGTCGTTGATATCATTTATATTAGTAATATCTATCAGCACTCCTGAAACTTTATGTTCAGGTTCATTTTTGATGTAATTTTCATTAGTTGATGTATCAACTGTATCAGTAACATCTGACGATGTTGATTTTTCTATTTTAATGGGGACTGCATTTGGTAATAATCGCCTTATCGTTGCATATCCACCAGTTTGATGATATGAGTCATTTGTGAAATGATCACTGCAGAGGTATGAATTATCATAAATAGGATTTTTTCCTATAGCCAACATCCATTTCCGTTTCCTAGCATCATCCTTAGGAAATCTAAAAAATATTTCATATTTAATAATAAATAAACAAGGTACATTTTTGATCATTGATCTTAATATAATGATATTTTTAATCCATATCCATGATGATGTTCTCCTGGCCGATTCCGGCCACGGCGGCCAATCTCATTGAGACTAGCCAACTGCGCAGGAGATATTATATTCCCAGTATATATCTATACTCTTTGTATTATAGTGCACAACTGTACGCGCAGACACGACGTGCACTCTCTAACCCTGTCACTCTCTATATTCCGGTGGTACGATAGCTCGATTCGACCAGTGAGAGTTAAGGCGCAGGACGGATGGCTTTACGTGCTCTCCGAGGCACGGGGGTGAAACACCACAAATTTTCCAACTCCGGGCTATTACTGAGGCAGCTATTACCGGCCTATTACAGAAAGACTCAATAACTAAACTTGGCCTGACCCGGGACTCGAACCCAGGACCTCCGGGTGTGCAGCCGTACATGCTAGCCACTACACCACCGAGACATTTAAATCCATATCCATACTAATATTACAAAATATGTGAGTGTTTTTAAGTTTTAAGAAATTGAAAGTGTGTTGTTTGCTTGTCCTTTTTTCACGTCGAAACAGAGTGTTGGAATGACGTGATTTTTTTTGTATGGAGATAATTGTTAACTGGGTAGTAACATAGGCTACTTTTTACCACACTATTTTACCATTTGACATTATCTCATTCCCACGGATAAATACATTATAATCCAACCCACAACAATTCATCATACATACCTATTACCTATACCTTTAAAACGTACGTAGTGATGAACCCGAGCGATGCAAGGGTCGCTAGTATAATATAATTTTAGAAATTAATCGAAATGTCTAAAAGGTTTCTTACTTGTGAAAACTTCGGCTTTTATCACGAGGAATAGGTTCTTTTTCACAAACTACACATATTTTAGTCATTTTTATAGTTAATTGAATTAAATAATTATTTGACTGAATAAAAAACACAATTTATTACAAATCGATACGTTTAATTATTTCTGATATAGAATATCAATACTCAGTTGACACAGCAAGCTTTAAAGTGCGCATGCTCAAAATAAAAAGAGATAAACACGTTTGTTATTTTCTGTCTCTTTCTATTGGTATAAGACATTTTTATTGGTTTGCCTACTATACTATAATATATTATATTATATTGGACCTTTATATGGCATAAAGGTAAAAGATCCAATATTTAGATATTTTTATATTTACAATTTAGTATAGTGTTACTAGCGACATCTATTTACAAGAAACATTTCCAATTAATACATAGTGCTTAAATGACAAAGCAGATGGCATAAGTAAAAGTTATATTAAAAAATAAATTATTTTTTGTATGTATGTTACCGCTTTTACTTTTTATTAGTTATTTATTGAGGTTAAAAACTGTTTAAGATTATACAATTTATAATGTTCTAGTGCCATACATTTTTCTGGGACAGACTATAATCTTATCTGTGCCAAATTTCATCCAGATCCATTCGCCCTTCTGGCATGTTGAGTGACAAACATCCATGCAAACATCTAAACTTTCACATCTATACATATAATAAAATTGTAACTAAGCCGAATCTGTACATTAGATATTTTTTGGAAAATCTTATTGAAATAAACATTATTATCGATACGGAGGTCGAATCTATACTTTTTAGAATTTTTGACTCTCTGTCTGTCTGTCTGTTACCGCATCACAGAAAAAACACTAGAAGGATTTTGAAGAAATTTGGTATAATGATAGCTGGTTATCCGGGTCAATATATAGGATACTTTTTACCGCGAAAAAATATTTGATTTTTGAGAAAAAATACAAGAACTGCAATGTAAGATTATACTAATATGTAAAACCTAAGAATTTGGTTTTTGGTCATCTGGACGCGGGCGGAGCCGCGGGCAACGCTAGTATATAATATTAGTAAGATTGGGTCGACGGTTTGTAGAACAACGACATCTATTATCTATTCCAGCACACAAAAATACCCGTAATATTTAATATCATTTTGCACCTAGTTTACCAGGCATAACTAGATGACGCGGCTAGAGTTGTTACATTTTCACGTTTTAACAAAAATCGTTTTCTAAAATATTGTGACACCAAAACAAAAAAAAAAAACAATTTTGTTTTATTTGTACATTTTTAAATATACCAATCTTATAATTTTATCATATTTAATTTAAAAAGTATATCTCTGAAGAGGTCCACTTTCTATAATCAATAATGATAATATTATTTCATAACTTAAAAAAAATATATATCTGTTATTCTTCATTATTTACTTATTATTTCTACCGCACCTACTTGTTATTTCTTTATTTTTTACAGACAGGACATTAAAGAAAGGTATAAACTTTAAATATTAATGATATAAAGTTTGAACCCACCACACTTAGTTTTTTAAGCCAGCGCGTACAAATAGGTTAATATAGCTTTTAATTTAAAAAAATAATAATAATAGAATATTTTACAATATTCACATCTCTTCTATTCTTTCAAAAAACGTACGAACAGTCCGTGTAGGATACACAAATACATCGGGCTAGAGATGTCCGCGCCGAGGGACGCTGACAGCTTGATCGATAGCTAGTGCTAGCTACTATTGTCAAATGCTGGCTAAAATAAGAGCTTTCACTTGAAAGCTTTGATGTGGGATTATTGTGGCTACTTTAAGCTTCTTATTTGCGGATGTTCTCTGCTGTTTGTAACATTGAATCTGCTTTGAAGAATAACCAAGTCGACTCCTAAAAAAGTTGTTATTGCTTAACCTCTAAAATCATATACCTATAATGGTATTAAATTGTTTTTTACCACAGACTTACCCTCACTACAATCGGGTGCGTCTATAGATGTCTTATATTTTCCTATATGCTCCATAGTGTATCCGTATACTAAATTTCATACAAATCCGTCCAGCCGTTTAAACGGAAAGGTAAAAAACATACACACGAGAGAGTTTTACAAAGTTCAAGTAATAATGATGTTTTCCTAGCCGATTCCGGCCACGGCGGCCAATCTCAATGAGATTAGCCAACTGCGCAGGAGATATTATAGTGCTCAAGTGTACGCGCAGACACAAGTGCACTCTCTATTCCTATCACTCTCATACTCCGGTGGGACGAACACTCGACACGACCGGTGAGAGTTAAGACGTAGGACCGACGGCTTTACGTGCTCTCCGAGGCACGGGGGTGAAACACCGCAAACTTCCCAACTCCGGGCTGTTACTGAGACTTACTATACAGGAAGACTCAATAACTAAACTTGGCCCGACCCGAACCCAGGACCTCCGGGTGTGCAGCCCGTACATGCTAGCCACTACACCACCGAGGCAGTTAAAGTAAGTAAGTCAAGTAATAATAAATTGCTGCTAATTAATAAAATAGCAGCAACCGCTATCGAACTTGATGCTAACACAGAATCCTCCTTTTTAATAGGAAGCTATTATGTTATAGTAGGTTCTATAAATTCTATGTAATTTTAATAATAATTAGCGACTCACTCGCTCCACTCGAGTTTGTCCCTAGTTACGTATTAACTTTTAGTATAGATTTATCAAAGATGAGATATTTTCCTCCAGTAAAAAGTATCCTTTATGTTGACCCCGAATTTCATCAAAATCCCTCTAGTTGTTTTCTCGTGATGCGTTCCCAGACGGACAGACAAAAATTCTAAAAACTATAGATTCGGCTTCTGTATCGATAATAATGACTAAGTATTTCAATAAGGTTTTCCAAAAAATATTTAATGTACAGATTCAACTCATTTGGAATTTTATTATATGTATAGATAAATATAGATTACGAATAGGATATGGAATGCCGAATAATAATTCGGAAAAAGCGTATTTTTGTAACGATACCATAGTATAGGCAGAGCTCGAGAGCACGTGCGTTGCTCACAAAATCTGTCCGTTCTTGATCGATCACCGCCTTACTGGGAACAAGAGCGAATTATATTTTTATTTCTATATCGAAGATTGACGTTTTCGTTAGCTCTCCTTTGAATTTTATTATGTCAGCGGCATTTTTGTATTGAAATATAATTTTTTGTAAAAATATCTATGTACCTATAAGTACTTTTCGTAGTAATTGAATTTCTTAGATTTATTGGTTTTATTATGTTGAAAATTGATGAAAAATAAATGTTAAATGTTTTGGGCAATATGGTAGTTTAATTTTATACTTTATTTTTTTTAATTATTAAGGAGTTTATTTCTTATCTATATTATTTCATGTCTTCTATTTTACCAATTTATCATCAATTTCACAATATATGGAATATCAATTTGAAATTATGTTTTATAGCAATATCTGAAACTATAAATATACGCCGCAAAAATATAAAAAGAGTCTTAACAGACAGACAGACAGACAGACGGACAATAAAGTGCCTTATAAGGGTTCCCCTTTTTTCCTTTTGAGGTACGGAACCCTAAAAAGAAACTCTTTAGTTGTATATAATATCTGTATAATGTGTATAGATTTTACGAAATTAAATTAAGTCGTGGTAAAATTTCACATTTTTTTGTTATAACAAAATATTTAACCGTTAAACGGTTGCGAAAAGTTTTTGGCAGTTACTAATGTTCGCGTCGCGGCGTCTAACTTCAGTAGGTACGTTTTACTTTTGATGGATCACCGCACTCCACAACTTTAACATTTTATGTAGAAAATCCTCTAAAAATGATGTTAATTTAATTTTGTAACCTCCATATTATATAGGTTTAATCAATACTAGCGGCTCACCCTCACTTTGCTCGGGTTCGTCTTTAGAAAAACAAAAACAAATCTATCCCACGGGAGCCGTACATTTTTCCGGGAGAAAAAGTAGCCTTTGTGTTATTCTAATGTATGAGCTATATTATTGTAAAGTTTAATTAAAATCCATTCAATAGTTTTTGCGTGAAAGAGTTACAAGCATCCATACATCCTCATAAACTTTCGCAATTATAATATTAGTAGGATATTGTTTTAAAATACGCATTTTCTTGGTCAACAATATTTAGCGAGAGCAAGAGGAAAACTGAGGAGTCACTTTGTCTACGTTTGTATAGTTAGCTATGATTTAAATCTATTTAATAAATAAAATAGTCATCTTTGTTTTCACAGATTATATAATTATTATTTACTTATAATTTTTTTTTATTTAAAAGTTCACTGATTTTAAGGTTACTTTTTGCGTAATTATCATTCCAAACTAAGGCATCATTTTTTTTATAAAATTTAAGCCTCACCGCCTAAGAGACGTATTCAATTAAAAATACAAAAATCGGTTCACAGTTGCAAAAGCTATATATGGATATTATATACACAAACAAACATACATCTAAATTGAGTATAATATCTTCCTGTTTTAATTAATAATCATATTTGTATAAAATTCAAAATTATTTCCTTATTAGAACCATGTTATTACATCCATAACATATCCGAAAAAGAATATCTTAGTCCTAACAAGAAATGAAAAAAAAACTATGTAAATAATTATTTAATTTTCAATTAAAGTCAATAAGGGTGGATTTCGGACAAATTTATAACCATAAAGTTGTCTGAAATCAACCCTTATTGACTTTAAAGTCAATTCAAAAATAGGGTGGAAATTAAATGGCGCGTCACCCGCTGTCTTCGGGTGAGTGGCGGCAAGTTTAACGGATTAATTTGTCAAATCCGTTGTAAATCGTTAGTGAAGACCTTTAGAAAAAGACATAAAATTTATTTATCAACTAGCATTGCCCGCGGCTCCGCCCGCGTTTAGATGACCAAGAACCAAATTCTTAGGTTTAACATTGCAGTTATTGTATTTTTTCTCAAAAATGAAATATTTTCCCGCGTTAAAAGTATCCTATATGTTGACCCGGATAAACAGCTAAATTATACCAAATTTCATAAAAATCACTCCAGTGGTTTTTCTGTGATGCGGT